CACTGCTGAAAGTTCACGGGATAGGATCGGAAGCAAAAAGAGGGAAGATACCCCAGTCAAAGGGCAAAGGGAAGGCGACAGTAGGAGGAGGAAAGTGTATCTCGAAACTCACAGCAACCGCAGTAGGGACTAACACCAGCTACGCGGCTGCAGTGAAAAGCGTCCCATTGGAAATTGTACCAAGGGAATACCCGGAGGTCACGCTAACCACAGAACAACTGACAGACCTAGAGAGTGGCTCTAGTGGAAGAAATGTTCACCAGTACAGTGGTGAACCTGAAGTTCGCAGGAATCCATTTCAGGTCAGGACTGATAATGGTAGACTGCGAAAACGAACAGACAGTCGGCTGGCTGAGGGAAACTGTACCACAGCTGAAAGAATGGAAGGGGCCGAGGTTACCTGGGTGAACAGGAGAAAACATCCCAAAAGCACGCACCATAACCGTCTCTCTTCCCAGGAGCAAAGGACAAGAAGCTGAGAAACTCCTCAAACTCCTAAAGAACAAAAACGCCGACCTCAAGATAGAGGCATGGAAGGTAATCAGCTGAAAGAAGCAATCACATGGACAGCTGCTCACCTTGAGCATAGACATCAAGTCGAGCGAAGTAATCATGGCGCAGAACCACTCCATGCACTATGCACTACCAGTATGGGCGCGTCACGGTCCATAGCTTCTGGAAAGATGAGAAAGGAGCCAAGCCAGAGGACAAGATGGGCATAGACCCACCTGGTTCTTCAGCAAGAGTCAACTCCAAGATCACTAATTCTCCTAAAGAGAAAGGGGTATCGAAACCGGAGGTAGCTAAGCCCAAGCCAAGTAACAGCAAGACTGAGGACTCAGAGAACGAACTTCCTACAGACGAAGAGACAGACATCGCCAAGGGTGAGGGCAATGCCACCTCGCCTCCGTCCTAAGTAACCAATGGACAATACAGCCACCAGGATAGCTTAGGTCAACCTCCATCACGCCAGAGGATCCTCTGCATGTGATTACGAGGTTGGTTGGGCAAGGGCTTGTGGATCTTGCGCTGATCCTAGAACCGTGGGTATACAAGGGGCAGGTAAAAGGACTGAACACCAAAAACTCAAAGGTAATATGGGACGATAGGCACGAAACGCTCAGAGCCTGCATAGTAACCAAAAGACATATCAATTATACTTGTATTTCAGAATATATGATAAGGGACCTAGTACCAATCATCGTGAATTTCCATTACTTGGCAGACAGTGCATCATTGTGATAGCAGCCGCATACTTCGCTGGGGATGGACCACGCACACCACCGGCGGAACTGCAGGAGCTAGCACACCACTGTAGGGGGAAAAATATGCCACTCCTAGTGGGATGCGACGCTAATGCACACCATAACTTTTGAGGGAGCTCAAAAACCAATACCAGGGGTGAGTACCTTTTAGAATTCTTACTTGAAATGATTTTTGATATTTACAATAAAAATAATACACCCACTTTCGTAACAAGGGCAAGGGAGGAAGTACTAGATATAACATTTGTTAGTTCTGAAATACCGAAATACGTGAAAAACTGGAGGGTCTCGTCTGAACTCTCCCTGTCTCATCACAGGATTATAGAGTTCAGCTTAAAAGTAAGCACCTCCCAAGCAAAACTCAAGAGAGAAATAATCAACCCGGGAAGAATAGGTCATCACCTAAAACTGAAAGAGAAAATAGAGCGTGTCAACCAGGCAGTAATAGAGGTATTTGACTCTAGCTGCCCCACAGATTCGGAAAGTCACTCGAATGGGGCCCCATGGTGGAATGCAAACCTGGCACGCCTCCGGACTCTAGCTCGGTGTTCATTTAACACAGCAAGGAGGACCGGAGAGTGGCAGGGTTACACAGAGGCTTTCACAAAGTATAAGGAAGGCAAAAAGAAACAACTTTAGGTCTTTCTGTGAAAACATCACCTCGGATCCAGTCGCCGCTAGACTGCACAAGGCAATAGCCAAAGAGGCAACAAGCTCGACAATGGTTCTGAAAAAGCCAGATGGTACCTACACGGAAAGCGAGGAGGAGCGAGCGCTGCTTCTTTTGAACAAACACTTTCCAGGTAGTACGCCAACAAGCAGAAGTGAGGAAAAAGAGAACTCCAAACCGCCCACTAGGGAGGACTGGAAAACAACAAAAACGGTACTCACTAATGAACGGCTTGAATGGGCATTGAACGCATTCGAGCCTCTCAAATCCCCAGGAGTAGATGAGATCTTTTCAGCAATCCTACAAAGAGGAGAAACAGAGATCATGCCGCACCTTGTAGATATAACCAAAAGCAGTATGACGATGGAATATATACCGCAAATATAGAGAAGGGCAAGAGTCACTTTCATTCCAAAGGGAGGCAGGAAGGATGGGACAGACCCCAAATCCTTCAGGCCAATAAGCCTCACATCGTTCCTTCTAAAAATGATGGAAAAGGCAGTAGATAAGGAAAGGTGGCCTTTAAACGCAAGTCAGCACACCTACAGAGCAGGCAGGTCCACTGAGACAGCTCTGTTCCAACTGACGAGCATGATACAAGAAACTTTGGATGAGAAAGAAGTCGCACTATGCGCCTTCCTAGACATCGCTGGTGCCTTTGACAATACATCACATGTGGCATGTGGCTATTCGGAGAGCACTTACGAGAAGGGGAGTCAACGACACAATATCCCGATGGATGTGTAAGATGCTTGCCACGAGGACAGCAAAGACCTCAATGGGCAATGAGTCTCAGATGAGCACCACTCGAGGCACTCCCAAGGGCGGAGCTCTACTCACCTTTGATGTGGAGCTTAGTGGTGGATCAACTACTAGGAATACTGAACAACCTGGGCTTGCACTGCGTTAGGAATGCCAATAGCATTGTCATCATAGCAAGAGGAAAGTTCGAGGGCACAAAGGAATGGTGCCGAACAGTGGGAAGTGAAATAAACCCATCAAAAACCATCGAAGTCCCGTTTACTAGGAGAAGGAAACTCCCTAGAATAAAGGACATCCAAATACATGGGGCAATTATTATATCGGTGACGGAAGTCAAATATCTGGGGATGCAAACCAGGAATATTGAGATAAATGTACACCATGATAGTAAGACCAACCCTACTATATTGACCGATAGTCTGGTGCAAAGAAGTTGAAAAACAGAATATAAAGGCAGCTCGCAACAAATTGCAACGCAAAGGGACCGGAGCCGTAGTTCTTGGGCTTGGAATCAAGTTCTCCGAAGCAATGGGAAAACACCCAGACATATTTCAGGTGGAAATAAACGCCATAAGTAGATGTGCTAAGTTCAATCTTGATAAAAACTACAAAAAGAAAGAGATTGTCATATTCTCAGACATTCAAGCAGCCATCAAAGCGTTGAGTTCACTAATAATCAGCTCCAAAATGGTTTGGGAATGCCTGGACAAGTTAAACAAACAGGGCAAAAATAACAAACTATCCCTCCAGTGGATACTGGGACACGCAGGAATCGCAGGTAATGAGAAGGCGGACCAATTGGCGAAATTGGGAGCACAAACTCCGTTTTCAGAACCAGAGCCTTTCTGTGGCATAGGAACGCACCCCTATAAGGAAGCGTTCAGAAAGGAAGAGCGGACCAAATGGATCAGCCTCTAAGAACAGCTTTCAGGGTTAAGGCAATCAAAAATGTTTTTTAGGCCACATCACCAACGAAGATCAAAATACCTTATATCACTGAGTAAAAACAATCTCCGCATTCTTACCGGATTCCCCACAGGCCACTGCCGGTTAAGAGGGCACCTTGAGAATATAAAAATTGGAAACGAAGACAACTGCCGCATTTGTGAGGAAGGGAAGGAAACACCAACACCTGCTCACGGAGTGCGAGGCGATCGTGAACAAACGAATCGCCTGCTTCGGATGCTGCATCGTTGGACGGGAAGAAATTCCATCCATAGAACCATCCAGCTTACTGCGTTCATAAAATATTTAAAGCTGGATGAGGTGCAATAGATCTATGCAGGTCGCAGTGTAACAATACCCCTAATTCATTCATTCATCCATTCAACACCCAAAAAAAAAAACAATTATTTTTGTTAGCCTTACAATTATGTATTGATTGTAACTATTTGGTTGTTTTCTTCCGTATCGTATTTCAATTATAAAAATCAAAAGTCATAGGTGAAATCCGATTTAGTTGTAGGTAAGCAAATAAAAAAAACTTGACACGTTCCGACGACGTAAACATAATTTCTAGTTTTTATCGTCATTTGCTAATCCTAATTATGATGAGGCATTAAATTCGACACTTATTGTATTCACGGTGTTCATAATAATCATTAAAAAAAAATCAATTATTGCAGTTTGTTATAAGGTCCTGAGGCAGCCTATCAAAAAGAAATGCTCATAGACAAGTGATGAGTTCGAAAACTTGTCCTTCTCAACTACAAATATTGGGTAATATATTCTACTGCCCAGGTTTTGATCTCCCCAGTCCGCTTTTTGGGTGGTAGGTACCTAATAACCTTTAGAAAAAAAAAGGAATCGCCATCCGTATATAAAGGCTTGCTTGCATTGGCCGTTTAAAGGTTGGTTGGCATGACTTTAGATGGTTCGTTCGAAATATGGTTAAACATACCAACTATTTAAGCCAAAAAGGCTTGATTCACAACTATATTCGCATAACATAAGAGTTGACTTTCATGATAACATCGTTTTGCAATAAACGCATTTTGAACAATCTTAAATCATTAGTCGCCAGACAACGCTGATGAAACCCGGATTTTATTCACAAATCAGTTCAAGACCCAGGTCGTATAAGGTCGTAGCACAGTTAGGACTTCAAGTCGCGGTGTATAACGTCTGTGCCACGTTAAATTGCTACTTGGGAGTACTGTTTCCGTAAATAATATCGATTAACCATAGTTTCATTTCACTGAAAATGTTTGCGATATTTTTAGTTGTGATAGCGTTTCCTTCTATCTCTAATTTATCTACGTATCCAATGATCTATCACCCATTTTCAATATGTTAGGACTTACCTTTCACTTTAGATGGTTGTTTGGTCTGACGCACGAAGACTATGGTTTTTGGTCCATGCTGAAACAAGTTCATATATTGTTAATTTCTGGTCCTCACAAATAAGCTGCATTATTGCTAATTTATAGTTCATTTATGTTAAATAGTTTGCAACAATTACTGAGCAGGTCGTTTTATTGCAAAAATTATTGAATGCTTGATGTTCAAAGCAAATTTTCTTTTCATGTTTGATAGTTTGATCTAACACAAATTTTGACTAGAACAACACATCATCGTTGAAATTTTGGGTCAATGTTGGGTTTTATTAAAATAGACGATCAGTCTGACTGCCGATATTCTGGTTTGATGAATTTTAAACGTATCCAAATTTTGACATAGACTGATTATGCATCTCAACTGCAGTCTGGAAAATGTAATTCTCTTTTAGAATTTGAGAGCATGTACCTATTATCAATTTTGAATTAATGAAGTCTGCCAAAACTGGTATGCTCTCATGTTTCAAAAGTATCAGTTTCCTTTGAATGTATTCAAATCGTTTTTTGTCAGGTATAAATTGAAACATTTTTATATCCAAAATTGGTAAAGTTTTTTTTTCATAGCTCAATTACTGCCGCATGTATCTTCTTTTACCAATAAAAATCCCATAGCGAAATCTGACAATTAAATTGATTCTGCTATATGAAAAAAATTGGATCAATAGGTACAGACAGCCAATAAGTTTCGTGTAGGAGTAATAGAAATTGATACATCTAAAGCCAATTGACGATAAATCATTAAGAGTTATTGCGGGGGCTTCGCAAAACAAATTTATCGAATGAGGATTCATTTGCATCTATGTCTAGATTTACCTAAATCAATTTAGTTTTCTAAAACTAGCGAAATTAGATTACACTTTCTAATACGCCAAGCCAAAAATAAATCAAATTTGTGAGAGTTAGGATTTTAGGACCCTGATTCATTTTCCAAGTTGGAAAATTGAAATTTACTAACTTTGAGGCATTACCACCATTATAATAAAGCCAGGATCAATTACATTACTTCTTAATTACTTCTTGAAATTTTAAACTCATAGATAGAAAATGATTGCGAAAGAAAATTTTCGGAAAAGATGCTATTTACACAGGGATGTCCAACACTGGAGACTGGAGTTTTTTTTACCTGTGAAAATTTAGACAAGTTGATCAAATATTTTAAAAAGTTTCACAAAAAAAACTCATCTTTTCGCTCTAAAAATATTTAACCTGGATCTAGGCTGAGTACCAGCGAGAAAATAATTTTAATCAATAGCGTTTTTGTTCCTTTACAGGTAAATGCCAGAAATAGATAAGAAATTCTTGAAAGGTTTAGTCAGAGAGAAGAAACGCTTTGACGTGAAATATTTCCAGATAGAACAAGAGTGTTCTTTTGAGGTTTCATCCTACGTTGGAAGGGATTTTTAATTAAATCTTTTTGATGTGGTTTTCTTAGAGAGGCCTTTTTAATGTGGAGTTTTTGAGCATATTGCATCTATCACAGCAAGTTTAGAAAAGTAAAACTTTTCCAGCTGATATGCCTAACTGTTTTGTAGCTACATGAAATTTTTCTAAAGTTAACATAAAATACAAAAATTGCAATTTCATGCAATAGAAAAATAGCAACAGCTGTCAACTTTTTAAGAATAGTTGTATGCAAATTTGATAAAAATGGCCTCCTTTGTTCCAAGAACTAAATTTTCCTGTTATATTATTTATATCCGAATATATTGATCTGATAAAAGTTAAATACATCCGGCACAAATAATATATAGAGCAATCAGAGCCCACCATAGATGACCATCTGACCTCATTTTGGCCTACATAAATATTGTAATCAATAATGTCCGTTACAAAATATTTAGCCAAGTACTGCACAAGTTATTGCTCTTATGAAGTTTCATAAGTTCTATTTATAATTCATAAAAGCCATTTTTAGACAAAAAGAAAGTTTCTTCGAAAATCCATAAAACTTAAATAGCTCAGATATGATCCCTATTATTGGCAAGCGTTTGTGTAATAAAGTGTGGGGCCTCTATGCTAAAAGCATCCATTGTCTTTCACGCCTATTGCTTTCTCGATTGCTTGTGAGCTGAAACCCCTAGCAATCCTTGAAAGGAATAAGTTTATTTTAGAAAAGATCAATGAACCGAACAAACCTTGTTACGCTTTTGTTTACAAAGGCGTGTGCATGTACTAAGCAAATAAAATTTGATTTATTGCTTTAGTAAAATTAAGTTTTTCAAGAAATGCTGCATGGAAATTATTTAATTTTATGCCATTTTTATTTTGGACAACATGATATGGTGCTGATTAAGAATCTAATCTATAGTAGAGTCGTGCTCCTTGCGTGTTTATATCCTCATTCCTAACCAGGTTTTGAATTTTGTACAATCTATTCTATCTACTGATGAGTGTTGTTCTACAAGAGATAGGATAACAACACACATTCAGCATTCAATAAAGATGTTCGATATATATTTGGACAGGAATTCTTGGAAACAGTTTGGTTGGACCTTTTGAACTTCCACCACGATTGAATGGCGCTTTTCTACGTGATAATTTGCTTCGATTATTGGAAACTATCGCGTCAGAACAATGGGCGTTAAGCCTCAAAAATGGCCTATTAGATAACCAGATCTAAATCCCCTTGATTTCCATTTTTAGTGTCACATGAAATCTCTAGTTTACAATGAACTTAAACTTCAAGGCGATAATGACCTCTGAAATCGTATTTTGGCTGCAGCATACCAAATTTGTCAAGAACTAAACCTGTTTCAGTCAGTTTATGACAACTAGATTCGTCGTTCTTGAGAGTGTTTGAACCGAACATTTAGTTTAGCTTTTATTGGGAACTTTCTGTGCAGTGTATTCTGTCTCCAATTAGGGTGATTTTAGTATTTCTAAGCCGGTAGATGAAAATGTCCTAACGGCCAACTTGAAACTTCATGGCTATAACAACACCATTATAGCGGCCTATGCTCCATCAGAGGACGAAAGAGTCGGCATTATCGAGCAGGAGTTCTTTGACAAATTGGATGAAGTCCTAGTAGATATTGGAAGAAATAGAGAAATCATAATGATGGGGGATTTCAATGGAAGGACGAACAATAGCCAAGTTGTAGGACTATTTGAAAAAGAAATAATCAATGATAATGGCCGAAGGCTCATACATCTCTGTGAGACCCACAATGTTAGAATGAACAATGGATTTTTCAAGCACAAAGATATTTACCACTACACATGGATACAAAATACCCGTGACCTAAAAACTATTATTGACTATGTGATAAGCAAACAAGAAACAAACATAAAGATAAACGACGTAAGAGTCCCAAGAGGAATCACTTGCGGATCAGGTAATTTTTTAGTAAGAGCCAAAATAAAGATGCAATTTAGGAAAATTAACAAGAACCCAGAGGAACAAAACACCAATGCCATTCTCACGGACACAGTGGATACAAGAAAATACAATTCTGACAGTTTTAGGGATGAAAGCACTGTATTTCTATATCAGAGGCGACTCGACAGCAAACTATTGAACCCTGAAGAATGTATGTACCTCAATAAACTCTATGAGAACATTATAAGGAGAAGCCACCCAAGAAGCAATAGGAACGAAAAAAAAAATACCAACGAGAAATACTGGTGGAACCAGGAGATAGAGCCAAGAGAAGAAGCAAAAATATCTGAAATGGCTAACAACAAAAAATGAACAACACCTTGAAGTTCATAAAGACACAAAAAAACAACTGACACTATAGCTAAGACCGTGTCATAGGATAAGAAATAGGAAAAAATTAACACCTACATAGGAGGAAATAAATGCTCGGAGGTATGGAGATTTATATCAAATGCCAAAAACCCAGGAAAGGACAGAGCTAATAGCCAGATAATAAAATCAGAGCAAGGGGTAGAACACTACAACGGTCTATTAGAAGAAATTAGATCGGATTATACATTATAGATTCTTCAAGAAATATTGAAGTAGTTGAGATATCTGAAGAAACAGTGAAAAAGACTGTTAATAATCTTAAGTCAGGTAAAGCTAGCGGCCCAGAAGGGATATACTCCGAAATGCTGAAATGGGAAACTGAGAAGCTCTTTAGAGGTCTCACATGTATTATCAATAAATGCCTAAACGGACATCCTGTTCCACAAGACTGGAAAATGGCTTTTCTATGATGCATTCGCAAAAAAGGAAATAAGCTAGACTGCAATAACTATCGGAGCATATCAGTCATAAGCACACTAAGCAGATTATCCGGTAGAATCCTGCTTGATCGCATTGAAGATGAAGATTATAAAGAGAAAGAAAAAGAGCAGTGCGGCTTTAGAGCAGGAAGATCAGGTGCAGACAATGTATTTTGCCTAGAATTAAGATAGGTAACAAACTCACAGATACATTTATAGTGTCAAGTAGCACTGCAAAATTGGAAGAGTGCTTGTTTACTATTCAGTTTGCAGATGATCACGTCATAGTGACCAGTGACAAAGAGGACATGCAATACATAATTCGAAAGCTGGTAGAAGAGTATCAAAAATGGGGCCTGAGAGTTAATATAAATAAAACATAATATATATGTGTAAGCACCCAGAACGGAAACTTGAAAGTGGACAATGTTGAAGAAATTCTGCAATATCAGGAACATGAGTATCTAGATCACATTTGACAACACTGTATCAGATGTGAAAGAAATGCGAATACTTGAAGCTAAAAAAAGTAAAAGGATGCCTAAATTCAATCTCATGGAGCAAGGAAAAAACAGAGAAGAAAAAATTCAATAAACGTATACGAGACAATGATAAAGAGCATCCTTTTATATGGAGCAAGGAACCAGAAAGTAGAAGCAGTTGAAATGGATGTTATTAGAAGATCCATGCAAATCTCACGAATAGCGAGAATAAGGAACGACCATATAAAAAAACAAATGAGAATAGAAAGCAGGATAGTTCAGGACATTGAAAGGAAACAACTTACCTCGTACAGACACGAAGAACGAATATCAACTACCAGGTGGCCTAGAAAAATGTTGCATTGGCAACCAA